CAGGGCCATGTATAGAATGATTTGCTCCATGTTCCTTTTATGATTCTCAGCCATCCAGGCAGTCAGAGCGTCAAGAAGTCACAGTATAACATCCAGCTATTGCTTAAGCTAGAAGACTTTGGTGTCCTCCATGTGATACTGCTTTTATTTGCATGAAAAAATGCAAGAATGGTGGGACTTCTAGGCAGATTTTAAAGGAAGTTTTGGGAGACCAGGCAAAGTATCCCTAAGAGAGCAGTGCCACCAGCTATAAAAATGAAACTAAAAGTGTAGTAGAGACCTCAGAAAGTTGGAGATGCCAGGAACGTAGAACACTGACTGAGGGATGATTCTAGTTGTGAGTTGAAGTAGCCCAAGGAACAGTTATGTTGCCAAGTACCAGCAGAGCATAGGGCTGGGACCACCCAAACACTCTGGAGCCATGTGCCCTAGACGGTGGACAAGAAACACTAAGACTTAATATTTGTCCTCCTGAATTATAGTTTTCTTTGTTTCTGTTCTAATCAATCCACTTTTCCCTTCCTTTTGAAGCATAACTGTTTATACTGTGCCATTGTATATTGTAATTACATAGCTTTATTTTTTTAACAGGGGATCACAGCTGAGAATCTGCCTTGCGTCTCTGGGGAGATCTTGACTTAGACTTTTTAACAATGCTGGGACTCTTTAGATTAGGGGAAGGGATAACTGTGTTTTGGCTATTTGTGGAATAACAGTATCATGTTTGATGAAAATCTAACTTTGTGTTTATTTGAAATGTAAGCATGATTTTAGGAGATGAGTTTGGATATCAAATTAGCAAGTGATAAAATATGTCATATAACCTGGATTATCACACTGATTGGCTTGGGAGATAGCCAAAGGATTAGTACAGCCCACCTCTGTGTGGGTCATAGAAGCCTGACCTTGGGGACTATATCTGTTCCCATGTCTTTGCTGTACCCTTTCCTATCTGTCCCTGTTCCTTTGCTCTGCTTTCCAGTTGACGTGAACTGAGTAGCTTTGTTCCACCATCATATTCCTGCCTTTGAGCCTGATGACCATAACTGAATCCACTGAACCATGAGTCAAATTAACCATTTCCTCTTCAACATTGTACATACTGGCATTTGGTCCCAGTAAGAGAAAAACTCACATCTCAAACAGACCCCTCCTCACCACCTTCAGTCACATCACCTTGTTCCTAACTGTTAGTCATTTTTTTCCAGTTGCATTGCAGTATTTTCCAAAGTGCTTTCCTTGCTTCCATCCTTACCTTCTCCCTGTCTGGTATTCTTTATGTACATATGGGAGGAGAGATTTAAAGTCAAGTGAGGTAGCAATGTACAGTTTGTCTCAGGTTTTTCTGTTTGAGAGAAAAGTTCCAGATCCACACTTACACTTCTACATGGTATGGTTTCTTGTAGAAGCATACCAACCTTTGACCTTACCAATTCTCTCAATCTAACACCACAACCTCCCTACAACATGTTATGCTGGCTTCTATGCTCATCCTTGAGAATGCAGGATGTCTTGGGAACATATATGACAGACAGCAAGGGGAAAAAAAAAAAAACACGTTCAAAGCAGCTCATGAAGATTCCTGACCTCACTGATAGCTAAGTGATGTAATGGTAGAGTGATAATTTCCATAATTATGCAAATGACTGAATTTCCTTGTTCAGTGGCAACATTTAAAAATTTCACATTCTAAAACAAATTTTGAATGATTTCTGTTCCTCTAAATATCCTTTTCCACTTCAAGAATGTTTTCACTCAGGAGATAAAATACATAAATGCACCCAAATCCAAATAACGTTAGTACAGTCTAACTTCATGTGCAACTTTACAGTTAATGGATAATGTCATTCTAAGTATGCTGTTGGTTAATGAAAACTCATTAACTTTACTTGAATACAATATGAATTTTAACAAAGTGTTTTTCAGGTTTTTTTAGTTCTTCTCCTTAAAAATTATGTCTGCCTTTCCTTTCTTGATAAATTAATATTTGCTAGATTATGTTGTCGTTGCTTTTGTTCCTATGTTTCATTCAGAAAAAAATATTCAGGAGCACACAATGATGAATCTTAGGGAAATGTCATTTTACAAAGTGGCATCCTGACAGAATGTGGAGGTGGTGAATTATCCAAACTAAAATATTTTTGCACTATAAAATGTGATCTATTCTCCTCTTCTAAATTCAGGGTATCTCCTTTCATTGTCTGCTTTCTGGGAGGCCATGCAAGATTGATGAGGATATTAAATTCCAAAAGTAAAAATGAAAAAACACAAATGTGTGTCTCAAGTTGACTGTAAATGAGATGTATGACTTAATAGAAACACATTGTAAACAATGACAGCAGAATGAAAATACCAGATTGGTTAACTTTGTTCAGTATGCCATGGAGCCAGTGCATACATCTAAACTGTTTTTTTTGGAGCACTATAATTTTATGGTTTTAAATCCCAGATTATAAATTTTTAAACCTTACATTTGTATTGAAAGATATGACTTTTCCTTTCTTAGCCAAAAGCTAAATCGCTCTGTCCTAGTACAAACTTATTAGATCTCTATCTGCACATTTCTATTTATTGATTTCTCCAAATCTGCTTTATGTTTTGTTTTACAACCAGCACTATACCCCAAATGTTGAAAGATTTGAAACTGTTAAGCAACAAATCTGTGAATTCACAGTGATATTCTAAGTGATCCAGGAAATGTCATTTTAAGTGGTAAAATCAATATGTATTTTGGTTCATTAGGAAAGTACATAATGGCTATTTCTCACATCTCCTCAGACTCTGTTTAACCAGTGTGTATTGTGATGCCTTGCCTGAAGCTCTTCTATATTTAGTCCTAATGGAACAGCCTTAAATTGCTTATTTTCTGTTTACTAAATTCAGCCTGCTTGTTACCATGGAAACTATGACAAGTGCTCTTGTTAACTATTTTATTAAATGAATTGAAGTTATAGCTACAACTGAAGGTGTGGTATGTCATTATTAAAGCACATTATTCAGCAGCTGTAAAATGAGGGCCACTCAAAATATGAAAGTAATTATGAATATTATCTTCTCTATTTCAAAGTTAGGAGGCTATCCATATTTGAAAATCAAAATTATAACTAAACCAGTCACCCCCAACAGTCTGTGTTCTAAAAGTGTATTTCTAAATCAGTTCTTTGGCAATTAGAGCACATTTACTCACTAACCACATTTTTACGAGTCATTATTAAATCTCCAAACCAACCCTCAAAAGCTGTTCATTTTGATGCTGTCAGTCTAAAATAGTGTAATAGTTACTGTAATAGATTGTGTTATCAGCTGTGGTAGCAGAGCCGGAGGAAAGAAAAGGCTTATCCTTTACTTGCTTCCTTTGTAATAGTCAGATATGAAAGAAAGCTGTCATTTGGAAATGGCATCATTTGCCCTGCGTAAATGTTGGGGATTCCAACTGCGTCCTTCAGTTACCTGCCAAGGTCCCCACATTCGGCCTCTGAAGTTCCTACCAGACCTGCCTTGCTTTCAATCTGTTTCTCCCTCTACATTGAACTATTACTGTCTAACAGATTCAGACTGATCTCGACCAATTAAAAAATAAATAGTATATTGTCTGAGAGATCAGGAAAACTTTTTAACACTGAAAAAATACAAGAGGTGGTCCAAAATTGTAGTCAATATTTAAGTAAAATATTTATTACAATGAAAATTCATTGCCTTTAGCCTCTTCCAAACATTCCCTCTTTCTTCAAACACTCTCATGTCATCACTCCTGCCACTCTCTGTAGCAGTTCTTCAAGCCCTCTTTCATGAGTGCCTTTCTAAATTCTGATCAAATGGTGAATGCTGCTGCCATGTGCCATCCAATGAAAAGGCAGGCTGACAAAAATGTTAAAATTGTCCATCATCCATGTTAGTCACTGGATGTGACACTGCAACTTGGAAATTCAGGTTCTTCCCCAAAGAAAAAATGACCATAAAAATAAATATTTTAAATTGACTTAGCATATTGAGGTAGCGAGGCAGTGCAACTAAAGACACTGAAGAAAGGAGACTCCCAGAACTACTTGAAAAAGTAGCTAGAAACACAGGATAAGCTTATTTGAAGGAAAAGCAGTATTGAGGGCTGATTAATGACAATATTTTACTACAATACATCTTTACACAAATGTATACGATATATTTTAGAACACGTCATATAATACTTTTGAGCCCTGGCAGATCCCCAGCTTGAGATTTATATTACTATGACAGGAAAAATTTCAAATTTTGAGGAAATGGGGAAATTGCTTTAAGTGAGTATTAGAAGTCATCATAACAGGGAATACTAAACATCAGCTCAAAAGAGAATAGTAGAAATCTTCTCAATCAGAAGTGAGTGATTTAAAAGGTGTCAGTGATTTATGGTGGTAGACAAAAATAGTGAAGTATCAAATTAACAGGGTAATAGAGACAAAATTTGTTCTGATTTTCTAATGGATTAAAAAACAAATAAAATATTGTAATTTAGGCATTGTCAATTCTGAACAATTATTGAAACATACCAAAGACAAAATGCACAATTTACTATTCTATGTTTAAAAATTTGAAGCAAGAAAAAACATAATTAGCTTAATGATAAAATCAACATGATACAATATGTTACCTTTATTGTTTATGCAACCATATTTCATACAGGTTCAGATTTAAAACAAATATATAAAGAAAGGGTAAAATTATTTTCTAGAAAATCATTATTTATTTTTTCCTGTAGTAACTTTCATAAGGATGGGTGTGAAATTTAATAGGATTTCATATTCTGTTTTTCCATTCTAACTTAATTCCCATAAAATATTTATTTATCTTGCTTCATATACAAAGAAATATGTGTGTAATAAAATGTCAATCAAAAATTAAATTATTTTATTGAATTTCTGCAGTTAAGAGAATATTCTGCAAGAGTATATTTTAAATTTAATGTTACTGATAGTTCAAAACAAAGGTATATTTTTTAATCTAACCCTCATTTTTCATCTTTTTAGGTTCTACTTTCATTTGTAACACTCACATAATTCCAGTGAAAAACCAAGAGGGTGTGGCTATGATGTTCATCATTAATTTTGAATATGTGACGGACGAGGAAAACGCTGCCTCCCCAGAGAGGGTAAACCCAATATTACCAGTCAAAACTGTAAACCGTAAGTAAAAGCCAACATTTACTTAAGTCTCTTGAAGTTCCTCTACTGTAGTAATTGTAATCCATTTTTCATTATGGTTCATTTCTTTTAAAAATGTATTTACATTTGGAGGAATATAGTTCTCTATAAGAAAATAATAGCTTATTCATTGGTGCCTACAGAATGTGGCAATTGTTTTGTCAGTTGGCTATGTCATTGTTTATTTAACTAATACCCAGCAGATGGACAGTTTGTTCTCAAATTTTAGCTCTTAAAAATATTATCAGATAATTATGCCTATATATTTTCATGTGAATATATGTATTTTTTAGATAAAAGTATTTTCAGGATTCATGAATGGGACTCCTGGATCAAAAAGTATATGAATAGATAGTCTTCTCAGATCCTCTCAAATTTCTCTATATTCGGTTTGAAAGGTTTTATATTATCACCAGCAATATATGCACTCTATTTTTCAAACCGAGGACAACAGAGTGACTCAGTCAGTCTTTCTGATTTTTTTTCATTCAGACACATAAGAAGTAATTTCAGTTTATATTTATCTTTTTATTAATTAGGTTCATATATTTAGATACTACAGACTTTTTTCTATCATGATTATTCTCTTCTTCTTCTTCTTCTTCTTCTTCTTCTTCTTCTTCTTCTTCTTCTTCTTCTTCTTCTTCTTCTTCCTTTTCTTTTCCTCCTCCTCCTTCCTCTTACTCTTTTTTTTCCCTTGAGACAAGAACTCTCTGTGTATTCCAGGCTGACCTTGAACTCTGTGCAATCCTTCAGTCTCGGTCTCTTGAGTGTTGGGATTACAAGGTGTGACAATATGCCCAGCTAAACGTTCATTTCTTACATACTTTGTGTTATACTTTTCTCATGTCTGTTAGTAAAATAAGTTGAAATAGCTTCCCTTAATTCATTTATTGATTTTTCATGATTCTTGTTACAGAAAGAAATGTTGGTTGATTTTTGTTTTGTTTTTTAGTTCATTTTTGTTGTTTAGTTCATTTTTGTTGTTGATTTTTTGCTTTGGTACTTTAAAAAAGAACTTCTTTTTCTTTTTTTTAGCTTCTGAATTTGTAATCATAATCGAAGAGTTTTCACTACTTCAAGGTTATAAAAAATTTATTTTTTGTAGAAATTGTATAGTTCTTTAGATTTATGTCCATTTTAAATTTATTTTGATGTGTAGTAGAAGTTATACATTTACTTTTTTATCAATGGCATTGTGGTCATTCTCACATCACTTACTAAAACGCTACTTTTTTATCAATAATTTATGATTCCAAACTAAAATTTACCACACTGTAAACTTCCTTGTTCATTTGAATCTACCTTCAGACTGCTCTGATAACTATTTACTTCAGAATCACATTGTTTTACATATACAATTACTGTTTAATATAAAATATTCTCTTATTGGTTGATATTAATTTCTAGGATCCTAGGGTTGTTTTAATATATGCACATGAACTTTAGAAACAACTGTTCAAAATTCACGACAAAATACTTTTGGTATTTTTATTGGTTTTCTATTAACTAAAGTTAACACGAAAGAACTTTCTGTCGTAGTGGTGTTGAGCCCTTCAGTTTGAGAATTTGTTTCATTTTTTTAAGTCCAAGATTGTGTCTTTCCGGAGTGCTTAATATTTTTCTCATCAGATTAATTTGCTCTTTGGCATTTTTATTTTTGTAGTTGCTATTAGAAATGAGATCTCTGGTTTTCTTCTTCTGATCTATCTTTGTATCTATGTATCTATGTATCTGTGTATCTATCTATCTATCTGTCTGTCTGTCTGTCTATTTTATTCACAGTGATCTTTTGTTAATTTTATGCCTTTCATAGTGATTGGTCTCAGATCCCATTCACCTATACATTGAGTCTCATGAGTTTTTAAAGTATCATATGGGACAGAGATTGATTTATATTTTTCTTCCAATTTTTATTCATCTAATAGTTTTCTGTCCTTTAAATGTGTCACTATTACCCCTGTTGTATCATTAAAAAGTAAAATAGTGAACAGTGTCATGTTTTGTCCCTGACAAAAGCCATTAGTGTTTTCTATTGCTCAAATGAAGGCATATGGCTTGAGTTTTAGATGGTTCATAACTTTGAGAATATTCCGTTTACTGCAATGTGCATACAAATTTGCAAAATGCTTTTTTGCAGCATCCCAGTACACCATTTCTTATTTTTATAGCGTTTTACAAATGAAGTTGCTAACATAGAACCATTCTTGTATCTCAAAAGAAGTCACATCTGGACAGGTCATTTTGCTACGTGCTGTTGGGATTCTCCTATCTAATATTAATTTAGAATTTCCAATACTCAGAAAGTTTTGTCTGCAACTTTTGCAGATGTATGTGACTTTTCCCTAGGTGATAGGATTAATGGAATCATTCATTCAAAAGTGGAGTATCTCTTGATTTTCTAGGCTGAGGAATATTTAAGTATCTTGATAATTTTCTAAACTTTAAAAATTCATTGTGACTGTTTTGTGAAATTTTCTATTGTTTTTGTGAAGTAGTTGTCTGACAAATATCTTTTCTATTTTTCTACACCAATTAACAATCTTATCTGATAACATTTTTTGTTACATGTGATTTTCCTAGAATTATCACATAGATTTGTTAAGATCTGTTTTAAAGAATTTGGCAAAATAGTCCTTATAGTGATTTTAAGATTTCCTGTTAGAGATATTTCTTTCTTGAAATTTCTCATTTTTAATATTTTTTCTAAAATTACTAATTCTATCTAAAAAGACTAAATTCGCATTAGTTTATGAATTCTATAGTTTTCAAATGCAAGAAATTTTTCTTTCATCCTTATTCATTGTTTTGAAATCTTAGTTTATTGCCTATTCTCCATTATAATGATTTTTAATTCTCCTAACGTTTTGTTGAATAATTGTAATGGCATGTATTCTACTCTAAACACCATTTAGTCTGAGCCATACCCTATGAGCTCATATTTATAACATTTTCAGTGTTTTTTTAATGTATAGAACTTTCATTTTCTAGTTTTTAACTTAAGAGTTGTTAATTTTCCATTAAAAGTATTTTCTAAAGTTTTTATTTTTGTTCTATCTTGTTATTTTCTAATTCTGTGGATATTAATTCTCCTTCTGTAACTTTCCACAAATTACTTTGTATCGTGATCAAAATAAAGACAATAACACGATCCTCTCTCTGGCTGCATGGTCACTTATGGCAGTTCCACACAGTAGTTGGTGCCCAATGAGGGTTCTCTGAGACTTGCATGTAAAACTAGTCGAGATGTCTTCTTTTTTGTAAGTTTTATTTTTGTAATTGTTCATGTAAAGCATCATTGAACCAATGGATCTGTTGAAGAACTCAGCTGCGGGAAACCATGCAAAATGTTTTGAATTGCCCTTAAAATGTGGAAAATGTTTTCTAAATGCTTTATATTCTTTCTGCTGTAAATTAAAAATAAAGAAAATTTCCCCATAAAAATAATCTTTATGAAAATTTCTTATGAAAATAATAAGGCAATATTAGGGAATATCCAAGTACAAAAGTTGTTATCTCTTTTTAAAATGTGACCTTAGTACTATGTTATCATCTTTGTCCATACGTACACTGTTTTACAGATATGTCTTGAACATTAAAAAGTGTAGTATAGTCTTCTATTTTTATGGTATTTCTATTTCTCTTATATTCTTATAATTGGATTATTATTATTACTGCTTTTATTTTATAGATACATTTCATAGATATTCATATAAATCATTTATGTCATTATGGTAATCAGCTTCTACTATTAGAAGATATCTTTTTTTTAAATTTTTTTACCTTAATTGTACACTATCTGAAATCATGACATTTGAATCTTTTGTCCATTTTATTTCTAAATTTTTAGTATTTTTTAGTATTTTTAGTATTTTTTTAGTTGTCCTTTTTTATAAAGTGTGAGGCAAGATTTTTCTGTCTTATTTATAGGAAAATGATATTTCTCTTAATCGATAATGATAATGGATATTTGCATTTGGTGATAAAATTGACTCTCTTCTTAGTACTAACATATTCTGTTAGGGTTTTTGGTTTCATTTTGTTTATGTTTTATCTTAGTTACTTTTCTGAGATGAAATACCTGACAACCAAAGTTAAAGTGGGAAGTCTTTATTGACTCATAGTTGGTAGATGTTCCAGTTCATATGACTAGCTTCAACATAGGGTGGCATATGGCAGAGAAACAACAGTGGTAGAACACAATAAAAGCAAGGAGAGAAAATGAGAGAGAGGGACAGCGTGAGTGTGGTAGGACACAAGCCTCTTCTGTTTCCTTGTATTGGATACAAGACACCTAGGGCAGGTGATGCACTCACACCCCTAGTCACTCATCAATTCTGGAAGCCTGCCTCCATGACTATATGAGACTGTGAGGAGACGTCTAAACACAAACCATAACATGCTTATGGTTTCACTTGTTTGTTGATTTTTTGTTTTGAAGATGAGGCCCTGCTGTGGTGCTAACCCTGGCCTCGTAAGTTTTAGGCTCAAGCGACCCTAGTGATTCAGCCTCCAAGTAACACAAGACTGTGTTTATCTTCTTGTTCTGTTAAATATTCTCAAACTATTTCATTACATTATTTTTATGGCCCTCTTTTAAGTGTGTTTTCTTGTTATTTTATTTTTCTTTATTTTTGATAAATGGTAAACTGGCACTATTTTCTAGTAGTCATTTCATAAAAGATATTTTTCTTAGTTTTTTAGGATGTCATCCTTGGAATTCTGCAGTTTGTAGAATATACAGATTGTTTCTAAAATGTTGTATGTAATTTCCCTAATCTGTCCCCCTTTTCCTCAAAATACATGTTGATTACCTCCTTTGAGCAAAACAAAATGAGTTTATGTCTTTGAGTGTCATTCTCATTTTCAATTTTAAGAACAAATAGTACTTTTCTTTGCTTGTCTTTGCATTCCTACACATCCTTAGTATCCTATCATTTAATTTATCCTTTTTTTATTATAACATTTGACTCTCATCTATT